GATCAAGCCGTTTGGGAGGAGCATGGTAACTAACATTGTGACACGAAAATTTTATATATAAGATAGACTCTTAGTTGAATCTTTCCAGGTGGGAAGGTACAGTCACCCGATATTCTCCAAAGAAGGAGGTTGGCCGCCAGAAGTGGAGAGGATTGTAACAATAAATAGCGAGAAACAAGGGTACCCCAGGTCAAGATTGCCTCCATTCACCAAACATGAGATTGACCTAGTGAGAGGTCAGTAATATAAAGCTGTATGCATAACAGCTGCCGGTCCACCTTTCAAACTAACACTACGCAATACAGCGGAAACCAATATCATTGGAACGGTTAATTAACAAAGCTTCTAATTTATATTCGAACTCCATTCAATGCCAACGATACTTTCTTCAAATGCGAAACACGTGTAGCAATATGAGTGTAGACTCCATAACGGTCGAAATTTTTACAGCCTTCCTATAATATTTATATACATATATACTAGTTCCCGCGACTTCGTCCACGTGGAATTTAACTTTATTGTTCTAAAATAAAAGTAGCCTAAAGAACTAAAAATTATTTTGTTCGTCTAAAGTTATACGTTCCATTGAGTATCAGTTCCCAATGGTTCAAACTAATACATTTACATCCTGCATCATCCCTTATTTTATCCCCATGGGGTTGAATTTATCAAAATCCTTTTTTAAAAAATTATCTCATTCTTATCCAGGAACCTTCGATTTCTTCGGTTTAAATCATTATACTAGCAGATTGATCCGCTCAATCGACGGCAGCGAGAAGCCTTCCTTCTCCAAGGAAGAGGGTTCTTCTTTGTTCGGCGATGGAGAATATAACTACACTTTGGTGACAGGTCACGATTGGACCATGGCTGGTAACGGATGGCTTGCGGTTAGTACCTACTAGAAATGAATTATAGCTCTCATAAATTATGTTACATACACAACTTAAATGTGCATATAGTGTATTGTAGATATACAAAATATATTTGGGTATTCTTGTAACATAACATAAACTGACAATATTACTATACATATTATTATATAACTAGTATTTACATAACCTAATTGTACAACTAAGAACTAAAATAAAAAGCTTAAAAAAAAAAAAAAAAATAGAATATGATAACTAAAATATATTATTAAAAGTGGTCCCTTTAGGCAACGTTCCGAAGATACTGGCAGCGTTCCCTCTTTGAATAGCTAGACTAATTCTTTGTCCAAGGTAGCTGCCAGCTCTTCGGTCTTCTGTGATGTCGACTAACCTTTTCGTTATTTCTTTGAATTTATATCAGTTGTCTAGTACCCATAACACAAGTTCTGCCTAGGACCAAATGGCGATAAAGATATTTCAAGTCAAACTACAATATACAGTAGAATTACTTGCTATGATTATTAAAAATTGACGTGCAAACTTTTAATTAATAAAATTTAAAAATATAATATTATATTTCTTTATTATTCTGTATTTAAAAAAATATATTTTCTTTATTCATCATATATATTAAAACGTCAAGCAAAAACATTGTACCCCTTTTTAAGAAAATTACGCGGGCTGAAATTTAGCGTACTCATTCTTACTAACATTATAAATACAAAAGTAACTCTGTCTGTCTGGCACGCTTTCACACCAAAACTACTCAACCGATTTAAATGAAATTTGATACACAGATCATCTAGACACTTAGAAAGGACATAGGCTACTTTTTAATGTGAAAAAAATATTGTAATATAAGGGGTTGAAAGGGTTGTATGGAAGAATCGTAATTTTTAAAGCTAACACGATGAAACTTTTTTATTTGGCTTTTATGAGATTGTTAAAATTTTTTTCATTATTTGGTCAAGGTCACTAATTTACGAGGACGAAGTCGCGGGTACAGCTAGTAGTTTATATAGAGGAGTGCAGAATACAATTATTTTTTTAAATTATGCATGAAAAATCCATCTAATCAAAGAAAGAACACACATGCATCTATACTATTTTGTTTATTGTTAGTCTGTGGTCAAATTGAGAATAGATTAATGTTTGTCTTTAATATTATTTGTCTATGGTCTTTCTGAATGTTGTAATATGATTAATATCTTCAGGTATACCCAGTAGGGTTTCGTTATCTGCTACAATGGATCAAGAAGGAGTACGGAGATATAAAAATACTGGTGACTGAAAACGGTTACAGCACAGAAGGTGTAAACTACACACATGATGACGATAGACTGAAATATCATGAGGATTATATTAACCAGGTATGTATGACGGTCTTGTTGGTTTAGTGGTTAAGCGCACGGCCTTTTTTCCGGTGGTTGCGGGTTCTATTCCTCAGATGATACATTTGTATTCATGAGTATGTTTTTTTGTAATAATGAAATGGTGCACCCGCCTGCGCTAACGGATTACGCTGGCACCAGTGGAGGATGATAAGATGAGCATGAGGTCAGGTTAGTTAGCCCATCGTAACAAATTCACTAAGAATTTATCACGATGTTTTCAAGGGGGAACCGCGTGGAGGTCAACCTAACATGGTACATTGCTAGCAATGGCGTAATTACTCCACATTACTAACAATCCTCTTTCCCCCTCATGAGTATGTTGCCTGGTTGTTTTCTATGTGTATTATGTATATACATTTGAAAAATGTATTTAAGTATTATTTAGTACACATAACACTTGGCACTAGATGGCGCAGTGTAAATTGTTCTGAGAGTTGATATTATTACTATATGGCACGGTATGCTGAAGTCAAGTCAGTTAGGATAATATTAATAAGAACGAAAGACAATTCATAGCGCCATCTAGTCCCAAGCTAAGCGTAGCTTCTGTTATGGTTAATAGACAACTAATATAAATACTTAAATACATAGAAAACACCCAGACTGATACAAAAATTATAGATAAATACAAACTTTTGTATCGTACAAGTATCGAACTCGAGACTGTCGAAAGCGATATACTAAACCGCTAGACCATAAAGGGATTCTCAAATAAAACTTACATTTTTTTTACGTTTCTTCATGTACAGATGCTACTGGCTATTAAGGAGGACGGTGTTAATGTCATAGGTTACACAGCCTGGAGCCTTATGGATAACTACGAGTGGACCGACGGCTACAAGTGAGTAGATATTTTTGTTTTTTTTATATAGATGACTAGCTGTGCTCGCAACTTCGTCCGCGTTGTATAGGGACCTTGGATAGCAAAAAATATATATAAAATATCCAACCCAAAATAACCATAATATATGGTTATATATTATGGTTATTTTGGGTTGGATATTACAAAAAAGCCAAAGAAAAGAAAGTTCATCGTCCTGGCTTCAAAAATGACGAATTTTCATACAAACTTTCATCCCCTATTTTATTTTACCCCCTTAAGGGATTTTTTTTACATACTTTGAATGTCATATTTATTTATATTTAATATAGCTTAAAAAATAAGTTTCAAGGTTCTCTTAAATTGACAATACTTAAAAAAATGTAGCTGAAAATTACAATATTTCCATACAATCAATCACCTGCCTTTACAACCAATTTTTCGCATTAAAATGTAGCCTATATTCTTTCTGACTATGTGTGTACCAAATTTTATTTTAATTGGTAAATTCACCGTGAATTTATCACGATATTTTCCAGGGGCAACCGCATGGAGATCAACCTGACATGGTACAGTGCTAACAATCGAGTTATTTGTCCACATTACTAACAATTTCCTTCTCTTCCCCAAAGAACTAGTCACACTTACTAACAACCCCCTTTCACCCCATGGCACACTGTTTCTTTTTATTAATTGATGATAATGGAATGATACACCCGCCTGTGCTAACGGTATACTCTGGCGGGGCACCAGTGGAAGGTAAGGTGAACATAAGGTCAGGTCAGATTGCCCATGATGACAAACTAACCAAGTATTTATCACGATGTTTTCCAGGGGGAATCGTGTGGAGGTCAACCTGACATGGTACATTCCTAGCATAAAGATCAATGCACATTACTAACCTACTAACCCCCTTTCACCCCACAGCACAGTTTTAGTTTCTAACATCAATAAACATTTTAATTTCAGAGCCAAATTCGGCCTATACGAAGTCAATTTCACGGATCCTCGTCGTACTAGAACGCCTAGGAAATCAGCGAAATTCTACGCAGAACTGATTAAGCACCAAAGAGTAATTGCAGCTGTTAACGGAACCAGTAGTTCTACTTACATACTGTCAATATTATTAGTGGTTGTGATTATACTGGCACTGATTGCTGGCTTCTATATGTACAATAGATCTAAAGCAAGGAAGAGAGCGCTTGTCAAGAAGGAATTCGAAGCGGATTACGAGCTTCTTATGGCGGAAAAACAAAATGAGTGAAAAGCAATTTTAATTGTAAGTTAATAAAGTTGTAATTGCATGACCTGTATTTTTCTCTTAATCTTTAGTTGGACAAACGATGTCAGTCAAATAAAAGATATAAATATATAACTCAAAGGTGACTGACATAGAGATCTATCAACGCACAGCCCAAACCACTGGACGGATCGGGCTGAAATTTGACATGCAGGTAGATGTTATGACGTAGGCATCCGCTAAGAAAGGATCTTGATAAATTCCACCCCTAAGGGGATAAATTCACGCGAGCGAAGCCGCGGGCAAAAGCTAGAAAAAGATATAAATAACCCTGGAGAACTAACACAGCGCCATCTAGTTATAGTTGCTAGACAACTGATATAAATACTTCGATTTTTTTTGTAAATATATATATACATAGAAAACAGCCAGACTGATACAAACAATGATAATCAAGAATACAAATGTATGCACGGTACAAACTTTTGTATTCGTGAGTATGATTGTATCGGTCTGGGTGTTTTCCATGTATATAAAAAAAACTATATATTTTTATATCAGTTGTCTAGTACCCATAACACATGCTCTGCCTAGCTTGAATCTAGATGGCGTTGTGTGAATTGTCATACCTAAATTTAACGGTACCAAAAACAACGCAGTATTTTCAAAAATAACATTTATTTCCTTAAAGTTTTCTGAAGTTTCAGTAGCGGAGCGTTTTTGCTTTTTCTTTTCTCTTTTTTCAGTTCTCCCGATTGAATGGCTTTCTTCATTACCTGAAATAATATTAACATTAAGTTCTTCCTTTCTGAAATCTGCACATTTCGACTATAGGTCCATTGACTATCGCCTTACTTCCGACATTCGTGGGTTCGATTCCTCGCACGACACAAACATTTACATAAAACAAATAACATTGAAATGTCTGTTTGTAATTTCATATTAAGAGCTTTTCACTAAATACATATGAAAATAATTATGTGTGTCTGTCTATCTCTTAGTTCTGGCTAGACCCCTGTCAAAGTTAATGTTTCTAAAATAAAACTTGGCAAAGTTATTGCTTCTAACATTAGCTATCTGTGAGTAAAAGTCCCGTCAAAATCGGACCAGGTTTTCATAAAATGTTATAAGGAGTAATTTAGGTTTCCTTTATTTTAGAAATTTTATTTCTTTTAATTCCTCGACGATTAGCCGAAGTTACGGGTAACAGCTAGTTTAAGAATAACAGAATATTCTCACCTGCAACGCGTTATCATCACTTTTGGCAAACATTGCTGGGTCGTTCAATGTTGGGTACTTGAATGAGAAACCTCGAGGAAACATGGGCCTTGAGAGGAGCGACGCCAGCTGCCTCTTCTTGGATTTCAAGGCTTTATCTATTGAAGGGTCCACGTTTTGAACGGGACTGGGTACGAGTTAAGGTTGACTTAAAAAATAGAAATAGTAATAAACTTTATTCAAATAAACTTAATATAAGCACTTCTGAATGACGAGCGGGCATGGCAATTGTTGTTTATGCACGGGATTTTCATTTAATGTTAGACATAGACACCTATATAAATATACATTGTATATAAACTGGCTTTTAAAAAAAAGTAATTCAATTGAGTTTCTTGCCAGTTCTTCTCAATTGGATCTATATACCGAACTGGACAGTAGAGAAAAAAATAAAAGTATAATGTAAAATATTCGACGTTAAGCGGCTAAAATGTCCTACATGAATAAATGATTTTTTAATTTGAATTTGATTAATCACATTTTTTTATTCTACCACTCATTAGGAACGCGGCCTCATCACAAGAAGAATGAGCTAGAAACTTGTTTTGCTCTTTTAAATAAATGTTATTCTAAGTAAATACACATTAACAAGGATTAGGCATGCGATAATCAACATAGAAGCACTCAATCTTTGTTCAGTCAACCTTAATTAATAAACACATACCGTCACTCTAATAAATAAAATATCGAGCTTCTTTGCCATTCAAATTACATCCTATATTTTAACCCCTTTTTTAATGTAGTCTATTGTTGTTGGCCGCAGCAGGTCCTTACAGCTTCACCGGACGATAGGGGGCGAGTTCAGATGGCACTCCAAACCCGCGGAAGGACTTATGGAGCGGCTGAAGGCCAACTCCCGCCTGACGGATACGACTTTAACCTGAGGACACCGCTAAGGGTTCGAACCTCGGCTCAGGCTGTAGTCTCGATTCCCGTGTATATTCAATATGACAATATCTATGTATTTATCAATTATCTAGTACCCATACCACAGGCTTTAGCTAGCTTAACTTGGGACTAGATGGCGCTGTGTTAACTGTCCTGAGATTATTACTATTATTAATTTTAAACACGCTTTTCGGCAATTGTATAAAAAGGATACAGGTCATCGTCGTCGATGATCATGTCCATCTCCTTGGCCAGCTTGTCTCGCCAGCCCTGCGCTTGTGCAGTTCTTCGTCTCCTCAGCAGAAGAGCATCCACCTCTCGCGCTGTCGTCATCAGCTCTTTGAGGGGTGGTAGAGCGTGCGCGGGCACCGGGAACGTTGGCAGTTCGGATGCTGGATAATTGTAATACGAATGTATAACATCACGACCATTACTCTGAATATGGTAGACAGAGACATTTAGTTATATTCACAATTATGGGATGTAGTATGAGCTTGTACTGTTGGCTGCTAGGGGCGAGTGCATATGGCACTCCAAACCTGCGGAAGGACTTATGGAGCGGTTGAATACCAACTCCCGCCTGACGGATACCGCTAGGGTTCAGGTTCAGGGCGTCTTAATCACGATCACCGTTTAGATTTGGACGGAGGATCGATATGATATAATAAAAAAAATCTTGCCACCGAGTTTTAGAACTTACGACATAAATGAGGTAGCGACATCTAGTTTACTTTACGGAACTATTGTAAGCGAATTCAATATTAAATTTCGGCGGTCAGAGTTTGTGTTTCTGACAGGTCAGGATCGAACGGGCGATGTAACTTTGAACTGACGTACATTTACGCAAAAATTTTAAATATCTTTTATCTGCCTTATTAACGAGTGAAAACATTAAAGATTTAATAATGATTCCAACTTACAATGAACACATTAACTTTGGGTGAAAATGATTAACTTTTTAACAAATATAAAAACAATAGTTTTTAAAAGTGAAACCACGTCTAACTGCGCTGTTTCAAGGTTATTTGGTCACATGTTGACTTAACTCTGAACGGCCGAACTGCAGCGTAAACAATGACTTACTTTTGTTGAGCGTTTTACACAACTTCGCATAAAGGTATGCCTCGGATGGCTCCATCATGAGTATGGTAAGACCCTCCTTGTTGGCACGAGCCGTCCGTCCGCTGCGATGTACGTAATTCTAAACAAACATTTGTAATATAAAAAATATATCCATACTAGCTGGTTGATATAAATCTACTAATTTCTAGCCAACTTGCAATATGTTACTACCCTAAATCCTACTCCTATTTTTATCCACCAAATCTGGGGGTAGCATCAACAAAATGAGTCGTTCGTTGTACGTCGCGTCGAGCACACGCAAATCAACATATTCTCCGCGAATCAACGTTAACGGAACCATCAGCCGCGATCTTCGCGCAATCATCTGATTAGTACATCATCCAGTGAAATTCATCGTAGTGTTGTGCGTTTTTAAAGTGAAACGGCTACGCGTATATTAAGACCTGCACGCGGGGACGACACGAACCAGGTTGGTCCTTAGTTTCCCTTTTTTACCCAACATTCTTCATGGTCCTTCGAGCCGGATCACCATCATTCATCTCAAAACCCATAAATAAATCATATTTCATAATCATCTGATTATCATATTCATCTCATAATTTCATCAAGTATTGCAAGTCATTTTTCATTGTCATATCAACCGCCGTACATATCAGCCATTTTGCTCATATTTCACCTTGTCATTCATTCCATCAAATCAGTATCATTCATTGGCTGTCAATAAAGCTTTAAGCAAAAATCATAACTCATTGTTGGCAACACAGAACAGTAAGTTGTCAATCATAACCCGTCAGTATTAATTCATTCAATCAAATTGTTAGTTTAACTTTTGTTTACATTTTAATTTTCGTATATCATTTAGGAAAATATTAAATTATTTTGGTTAAATAACATCAAAATACGATGGCAAATATTAAAGCGTATGCCACAAACTGCGATCTGAGTTACAAAAACATGCGAAATGTGTATGAACTTGCAGGTAAACTTAGCCAAAATCCAAACTTAACTTCACAAGAGCAAGTTGGTTTCATGGTGCGATTTAAGGATATTGAAAGGTTTAGGCAACAATTCGAGGAGGCTTTTGCTATTCTTATGTCTAGTACTGAGTCTGTAAGTGACAAATCTCGTGAGGAGTTGGAAAACAGATATTCAACTTTTATGGATATGTTTTATTCTGTTCAAGTTTTGCATAGTTCAATACAAACAAAGAGTGACAATGCCAGTGGTTTTCAACACTCATCATCTAAATCTGAACCTGCCTTTCAGCTTCCCAAGATATCTCTAAATAGGTACTCAGGTGTGAGCATAGAGTGGCCAAACTTCATCTCAATTTTCAACAGTCTAATTCATAATAATGATAGTTTAAGTTCTGTTCAAAAGTTACACTATTTATTGAGTGTTTTGGATAAGGAACCACTCTCTTTGGTAAAGCATTTAGTAATATCTAGTGAGAACTATCAAGTTGCTTACAATTTATTAACAGAACGCTATGAAAACAAGAGAGTTATCGCTGATAAACATGTAGAAGCAATTCTTAATTTGCCAAATTTAACACAATTAAATTTAAAAACTTTAACAAAATTCTTATTCACCATTAAAGAGAGCACTCAAGCTCTTGATGCCTTAAACATGAATACTAAATCTTGGAGTTTTCTTTTGCTTCATATAATTCTTAGAAAATTGTCACTGGATTTAAGAAGCAAATTTGAATCTCAAGTTGACATTAAAACTATACCTACATTTGAGAATTTAATTAAATTTTTGGAAAATCAATTACATGTTTTAGAAAATGTTAGTGCTTCTATACATAGGGCTTCTACTAGTAGTACATTAACAGTCATTGAATCAAACAATAAAAATAAACTTAGTACAATTATTTGTCCTTGCTGTCAGGATAAACATAGTCTATATTACTGTTCTAAATTTGATACAATGACTCCGGAACAAAGAAAATCCTTTGTTTTTCAACATAAACTCTGCTTTAATTGTTTAAGAACTCATCATATTTCAAAATGCATTTCACAAAGTGTATGCAGAGTATGTCGTGGCCGACACCATACAAAGCTACACATCTCATCCGATCAACTGAAACCTTACCCAAAAGATAATGAAGTTGCTGTGTCGACAGTGGGTTCCATAGCTCAACTTCAATCTATCCATGGTGTCGAATGTAAATCCACTATGATTTTGGGTACTGCTATTGTCAGTGTACGAGATGTCAATGGATATTACCATTCAGCTCGTGCTCTCATCGACAATGGTTCTCAGGTTTCAATTGTAACCGAAAATCTTGCACAACAACTTAGACTGCCACGTTCACCGTCTAGCAGTGTTCTTGGTTTAGGTGCTTCATCAGCTCAGCATAGTCGAGGAATGATACACTGCAACATAAAATCTTTTATGGATCCTACCAAGACCATATCAACTAATTGTATCATCCTAAAACGCATAACAGGTAATCTCCCATCAGTTATGGTAAATAAATGCATTTTAGATAAATGCAAAAACTTAGTCTTGGCTGATAACAACTTTTCAATGCCGGGAAAAATAGATGTTCTTTTAGGTGTTGACTGTTTTAATAAAATTATTGATGGTGAACAACGTAGCCTGGGTGAAGACATGCCCACTGCGCATTCATCCATCTTAGGTTGGATCATCATGGGCAAGGCTCCCACAGCATCGCAGCAGACTTGTGGTGTGGTCTCCATGGCCTGTACCACAGATATTAATTTTAACCTTTCAAGGTTCTGGGAATCTGAGGAACCTCCCGGTCAACTTATACAAGATCCTGAAAACATTATTTGTGAAAAACACTTCACTAACACTCACACAAGGGATAGCACTGGTCGCTTCATTGTGCGGTTACCTTTCAAAGTGGATCATAAGCCTTTGGGTGAAACACACACCACCGCCTTAAAGCGATTTCATAATTTGGAGCGTCGCATGCTTAAGGATGAGAAGTTGCATGAACTTTATGTTGCCTTTATGAGGGATTACATTGAAGCTGGCCATATGCGTCAAGTGTCAGGTCCAGTATCAAGTGACCGATATTATATTCCCCATCATGGTGTGCTACGTGAACACAGTAGTACCACAAAACTTCGTGCTGTATATGATGCATCAGCCTCTAGCTCTACAGGTGTTTCACTTAATCAGGTACTTATGTCCGGTCCCAAACTTCAAAAAAATATTGAAGATATTATTTTGCGATTTCGACTCCACAAAATTGTCTTCACATGCGACATAAAACAAATGTATCGACAGGTGCGCATGCATGATGACGACTGCAGATACCAAACTATCTTCTGGCGCGCTTCTCCTGCTGAATCCTTGAAGCAGTACGAGTTAACTACCGTAACATACGGCGTCACGAGCTCTGCTTATCAAGCTATTCGCGTCATTCACGAGTTAGCTCATTTAAATACTAGCCAATATGCTGAGGCTTGTAGGGTATTGCTAGCAGATACATTCGTAGATGATATAGTTAGTGGGTCTCATTGTCTTGATTCTGCTCAGCAATTGCAGCAAAATCTGGTTGCCATTCTCTCTCAAGGCGGTTTCGATTTGCGCAAGTGGTCAAGCAACTCAAAGGAGTTCTTGGAATCTTTCACCTCCGATCATTGCGAGCCACCATACCGTTTCGAGGAGCAGGGTGACATCTTCAAAATTCTGGGCATCGAATGGAACGCAAAAACGGATAGCTTCATCTATCATGTCTCAAACATGAGTAATGTCATGACCATGCGTGGCGTTTTGTCTAACATCGCGAGACTTTACGATCCATGTGGATTTTTAGCTCCTGTCACTTTCTACGCCAAGCACCTTATGCAACAGCTGTGGTCAACACAAAAGAGTTGGGACGATCCACTTCCCCCTGCTATACAAAAATCTTGGTCGGAATTAATAGCAGATTTTCCTCATCTTAATAAAGTATCTATATCACGTTACGTTATCACTGATCAACCTTTTGTATGTCAATTGCACGGTTTCAGTGATGCGTCCGAGCGCGGGTATGCCGCTTGCATCTATCTGCGTATTCAAAATACTCATGGTAATTATGTTAAATTATTACTTGCAAAATCACGGGTAGCACCACTCAAACAAAAACTAACTATTCCCAAATTGGAATTAAACGGTGCACTTTTACTCATTCGCTTAACCAAACACGTGTTTGACATTTTAAATGTCAAAATGTCAATCACTACTGTCATTGCTTGGTGTGATTCGAACATAGTCCTATCGTGGCTTAAAACTTCACCTCACAAACTTCAAACTTATGAAGGGAACCGTGTATCCCAAATCCAAAATTTATTTTCCAATGTCACGTGGAAACACGTACCGTCCATGATGAATCCAGCTGATTCAGCCAGTCGAGGCCTTACTCCTACTGAATTAGTTGATCATCCCCTATGGTGGTGTCCATCATGGCTTGAAATGGACGATTCAACATGGCCTAATGAATCATCAGAACTTAGCGAAGCCGACTTGCCTGGTGTACGGTCCTCCTATCCTGCAGCTTATGTCACGCATACTATTACGGAGCCTCCTTTTCTCACCAAGTACAGCTCGTTTACCAAGTTACGATGTATAGTAGCTTGGTGCAAACGTTTCTGTCACAATCTACGCAAGCCTTCACAACGAAGAACTGGACCAATTAGTGTGGCCGAGTTGATTGATAGCACTCACACTATCATTCGATTGGTTCAGTCTTCGGAATTCTCTGGAACAATTAAAAGGCTACAGGAAAACAAATCTATTAAAGGTGGTCTCATGAGACTTAATTTATTTTTCGACAACATCGGTCTCGTAAGAGTAGGTGGAAGGCTTACCAATTCTAATTTGCCGTACCACACAAGGCATCCATTGTTACTTCCTAAGGCACACCACGTGACACGATTGATAATTGACTATTATCATCATGTCTTTTTACATCCTAGTCTAAATTCCCTTCTAAATTTATTACAAAAATACTTTTGGATTTTATCAGCGCGTCGAATTGTCCGCCAACAAATTTTTCGTTGTCAACGTTGTTATAGATCACGACCTAGATCTATTGAACCGTTTATGGGAGATCTACCCTCCCACCGAGTAACATCCTGTCGACCTTTTCAAAAGGTTGGGATCGATTTTGCGGGCCCGTTTTTCTTAAAAACTTCTCGTATCCGAAACGCCAAGTCCGTAAAATCGTATCTCTGTATTTTTGTATGTTTTACAACCAAATGTGTTCATCTGGAAATTGTTTCAGAGTTGTCTACTGAAGCGTTTCTTGCATGCTTCGATCGGTTTGTTTCTCGTAGGGGACTTCCTAGCGACGTATTTAGCGATTGCGGTACCAATTTTGTTGGTGCTCGGAATTATCTAAAAGATGTTACGCAACATATTATAAATTCTCATGAGGAAATCCATAAATATTTAGCTCATCAACAAATAGTTTGGCATTTGAATCCTCCCGCCAGTCCACACATGGGTGGTTTATGGGAGAGTGCTGTTCGCTCTGCCAAATTAATCATTACTCGTGTAATTGGTGATCGCTCACTGGTCTACGAAGAATTAGCTACCATCTTCACTAAAGTAGAGGCTGCTCTAAATTCACGTCCTTTAGTACCTATGACAAATGATCCAAATGACCTAGACGTTTTAACTCCTGGCCATTTTATCATCGGTAAACCTCTTCAGGCATTACCTGAAGAAGAAATAATAGAATCAAATCTTCTCAAGCGTTGGCAGTTAGTACGGCAAATAACTCAGCATTTTTGGAAGCGTTGGCAATCCGAATATCTTCATACATTACAACAGCGACCCAAATGGCTTGCTAAACTACCTAACGTTCAAGTAGGCGAGTTGGTTTTGCTGAAGGATCCCGGTTTGCCACCATTTCGTTGGAAAATTGCTAGGGTAACTAAAATTTGTCCAGGTTCTGACGGTACTGTTAGGGTGGTAGAGTTGAAAACTTCTACTGGTACGTTACTTCGACCAGTAGTCAAGATTTGTCCATTATTACCTTGTGCCTAAAGCCGATCATTATTCTTATGCTATCGAACCTTAGCTTATAGTATTATTAGTTTAGTTACATCTCATTATTATTATTATTTTTTTTTTTTAGTTAACATTATTGGAAACCTTTGCAGTTTCATATCTTACTTTTTTTTTATTCTCTAAAGAGCTTAGAGGCTCTTTGGGGGGCGGTATGGTTGATATAAATCTACTAATTTCTAGCCAACTTGCAATATGTTACTACCCTAAATCCTACTCCTATTTTTATCCACCAAATCTGGGGGTAGCATCAACAAAATGAGTCGTTCGTTGTACGTCGCGTCGAGCACACGCAAATCAACATATTCTCCGCGAATCAACGTTAACGGAACCATCAGCCGCGATCTTCGCGCAATCATCTGATTAGTACATCATCCAGTGAAATTCATCGTAGTGTTGTGCGTTTTTAAAGTGAAACGGCTACGCGTATATTAAGACCTGCACGCGGGGACGACACGAACCAGGTTGGTCCTTAGTTCCCTTTTTTACCCAACACTAGCTGTCCCGGCAAACGTTGTTTTGCCATATAAATTAATAACGCTATAAAAAAATAGTGGTTGATGATAGAAGAGTGAAAATTTAGGATTGTATGTAGTATCAAAAAAAAATAGAAACAAAATTTTGTCTAAAAAATAAAAAATATACATTTAGGGGGATGAAAAATAGATGTTGGCCGATTCTCAGACCTACTCAATACGCTCATAAAATTTCATGAGAACCGGTCAAGCCGTTTCGGAGGAGTATGGGAACAAAAACTGTGACACGAGAATTTTATATATAAGAAGATATTGTGCCAAATACGTGGTAGAGTTTATATAGTTTTTTTTATTTATTAAATGTACTTTTTATGCAAATTTAAAAAGAAATACCACAGGGAAGGAGTGCTGTCACTCCTTCGTATAATAATAATAATTATCACTAATGTAAGTATGTATATTTAGTAGTATAGTAAATAGTGTCTTATGTGTGCCACCTACCCTATTCTATGTACATAAGTCCTCTCTTCTAGATTGTCGGTAAGAGATTACTTTTAGCGAAGACTGCCTTTTTTAATTATTTTACTATTTACTATATTTTTTTATTAATTCATCTGTGTACATAATAAAGAGTTTTTTATTACTATTATTATATCCCTGGACATTTAACACAGCGCCATCTGGTCCCAAGCTAAGCAGAGCTTGTATTATGGGTACTAAACAATTGATACAAATACTTATATATATTTTTTGTAAACAAATAAAAATATCCGGACTGATACAATCATACTTATGAATACAAATACTTAGCGTACGAGGAATCAAACCTGTATCATCTAAAACAGGACGATCCGCTAAACCGTTAGACTACGAAGGTAAGCAAATATTTAAATTTGCTTACCTTTTATGTAAGTTCTATTAAATTGTGGATAGTTACCTCAGCAGTCTTTGGCACTTGGTAATGTATGACGTGATCCACATTGGGGATGTCCAACCCTCGAGCAGCCACATCCGTCGCCACCAGCACCCCGTGCGGATCATCCCTGAACCTGTTCACAGAAAATATCTAATATATAAAATTCTCGTGTCACAATGTCAGTTACCATACTCCTCCGAGACGACTTTATAAATTTTTACGTAATTTTGTAGGTATATCAGTCTGAGAATCAGCCATCATCTTTTCATACCCCTCAATGATAAGGGTGTACCCACCCGTAGATTTTTGTATTATTTTATTAACATATATTTTATTTTAATTTTATATGATTTGGCATTATAAGTACATACAACCTTCAATTTCCACTTTGTACTTAAATTATGGCAAAACAACGTTATTATTGATGGTAACATAAAGATTTCTACTTACCTTTCTAGATTCTTCAGGCGCTGTCTTTGCGGCATACTAGCATGGAGAGGCAGTAAAGGACAACTCAGTAAAGTGAACAATTGTGCCAACCTGCAAAAAAAGTTACAGAAATTAAGAAAGAAAGAAAATTGTTTATTTGGTATACTGAAAATAATTTTTAAAATTTAATTTACATTTTATATTAATAATTACAGTAGTAATAATAAATTAAAGTAGAAATAATCTTCATTCAAATAAACTCTATATAAGCACTTTTGAATAGTCATATTTTTGATTCTACCACTCATTCGGAACGGAGATTCATCAAAAGAAGAATGAGCAAGACACTTGTGTGTTGCTCTTTTGAATAGATGTTTTATTTTATACAAATAATTACACAATGACGAGTAATAAAATCAACATAGAAACCATTATGCACTCATTCCTAGTGCAATCAGTTAATATTCTCAGCGCTATTAATTTTAAGTTTTTCTACAAAAACAATATTATCGTTAAGGAACTCTTCAATGTTATAATATGATTTTGTAATATTAATTTAATAATACAATAATTGTTTTATATGATTTTGTAAAACAAATGTAAATGATAAAAATAATTACTACCCATTCATTACCAATCTCTGCCACTGTTTTTTTTGGGTCTTACAGTCAAGAGATCTCTTTCAGGCATAAATCTACTTACATTGTGTCTAAATTATTTTAGACGAGCTCGGTTGTCTAGTTTAGCACAGGGCTTTAGTTCCAATGATCGCGGGTTCTATTCCTCGCACGATACAAACATTTGTATTCATGAGTATAATTGTTAACGGTCAGACTAATTTTCTATTTATAATATGTAATTGTAAAAATGAATATCTAAGTACAGGTATCAGTTGTCTAGTACCCTTAACACAAGCTCGGCGTAGCTTAGGACTAGATGGCGCTGTATGAATTATTCAGAAAAATTATTAGTTTATTGCTGTATTTTCTGAGCGCAATAAAGAATATATAAAATTTCAATGCCAGGAAGAATATAGACAGTTTCAAAAGAGTTAGTGATTGCACTAATAAAAGCTTACGTAACAATAACAAACTGATTTTACCTAAATGTCGTTTGGCTAAAGTTTGTAATTCGTTTTATGGCAATTGCGTAAGGTAAATCTGCCAGAAAAATGATTTAAATGTCAAATAAAACACTTCCTTTGCAAAAAAGCTTAAGGGGGTCTTCCTATGTGACGGCCTGTTTTTTAGGGATATTTTAGGATTTTTTTTCTACGACCAGTAAATATTTAGAGCTTCAAGTTTTTTATCATTTATTAACACATATTTGGACAGTATAAATATAAAATTTCAGCTAAAAATATTCAGTCAAACTAGAGTTACAGCGCTCTGAACACCCCCGCCTCGAAAAAAAGAGCTCCCACTTCCTCCACGATTCCGGCTGATCGGCTTATCTGAAAAAAAAAAAGAACGGCGTTTTAATTTGTAGGCTTAAAAGCACGGAATGACCTATAATCAAATGAATATAAAAAAAATTGGATTTTTGATAGACATTTGAAATAAAAGTTGCAAATTAGGCGTTTTTTTTTTTGTTTTTTGCTATAAAAAAATCGAAGTTTTGAAAATTTTCGATTGATAATAGTTCATTCCATGCGTTTACATATATTGAGTGTGCCCTGTAAATTTCAAGTAATTCGGTCCAGCCGTTTCTGAGATACAATGGAGGAAAGTTTGAAAAACACAGTTTTGAGAAAAACGCGTTTAAAGTTTCAAGTCCGTTAAAAACTATTAAAATATCAACTTACTCTCAATCGGCGATGCCTGGTCCATAGAGTATTCCTTCCTCTTCCTCGTGAAACTCTTTTAAAGCAGATTGTTCAGCTCTTGAGTCAATCCTGGCTTGTTTAACGACATCACTTACGCGCCGCTCAGAGCGTAAGATTCGCTTTTCATCCCGTTTCTCAACATACGCTTGGGCTTCACGACCAACAGGGCATCCCATAATCGACATAACTTTTAAAATACCTTGAAAACCTTCATTAAAGATAATAACTGCTAAGTAGCTAGCAATTTCAACAACTTTGGGACCAGAATGAAGATGTTTAGGAGCGAAAGTCCAAATCAAAGAATTCAAAGATTCGTTATTGTTTTGTGTCTCTGCTCCTAAACAACGAATTAATAATTCGTCTTTCGATAAATCTTCGAAAACCGGTTTGATAGCTTCTTGGACTTGCGGAATTAGAGGTGGTTTATCGTGATGAAATTGGTCCAGTTCATTATTAGCTTCAGCCTTACGCCATTTACACCAACTGTCTTCGCCTTCTGGACAAAATTGATGCTGAGGGTTTTCATCAGAAGAACATTTATGATAGTACGTTGCCCAAACTTCCTTTCTCATATCTTCAAGCGAATCTGGATGGCGTCGAATTGCTAATCCGTAGAATTTTGTAATTTCTTGGATAACTTTATCAGTAAGTTTACCTGCTCCTTTTCCTCCTATTCCTTTATTGGTTTTATCCTTTTTAAGTCTGTAGAAACGTGTCTAAACTTGTATAAACAAATATATTAATAAAAGGGAGGCCAGGTATAAAGCCGACGGTACACAATAGGCCTGGTCTCTAACTGCCAACTCACCGCTCCGAACCGCTCTTTCTTTTACCTGCTGTATCTTTAAAACGACTTCGAATTTTCTAAAATCGCTTTACTACCGTATTCTAGACATGTTAAGGGAGCAATTTATGAAAAAAAAAAAATCGATTTTTTCAACCCATCACATAGGAAGACCCCCTTAATATAAAATTGAAGAATTCGTAAACGATAATAATGTTTTTGTAGAAAAAATTTACACTGACAATATTATCTGATTACACTAATAATGAGTGCGTAGCGATTTCTATGTTGATTATTGCATGCCTCTTACTTGTTATACTGTAATTATTTATATAAAAAAACATCTATTAAAAAGAGCAACACACAAGTTTCTTGCTCATTCTTCTTGTGATGAATCTGCATTCCGAATGAGTGGTAGAATCATAATATGACTATTCAAAAGTGTTTGTAATGAGTTTATTTGAATAAAGATTATTTCTATTTCTATTTCTATTACAATTCGTACCTTCTTACACAGCCTATAGAATTGCAAAACACTATAGTTCTTCCGGGGTGGTTTTTTGCTATGTAGTATAAATAGGCGTCTTTCTGTTCCAATGAGCACGCTATTCGACTCTCTGTTAAAGTTTCCGATGTACCTGTAAGATATATTTACATATAATATCTTTAACACGTTTAAGACCGCATGCCCACCGGTGGGTCCCTCAACAAAAGTAAATTTACACGTTGGGACCTGGTGATCACTCGTGGGCACTTTAATTGAAATAAATATAGGTGTTAAATAATGTCAACCTCGAATTATTGAACACTAAAACATATTTAAAAAATAATATACGTAATTAACAATTAAAAATGCCGGTCCGTATGTGAGAAGTAAGTTTTTTCAATGCGGTCATCAACTTGTTAAGTATAGTAAAATCAGGACGCGACATAAATTGTCAGTTTGTTTGTTTATAGATGCGTTTACACGATCTAGACACGCGGTAGCATGTCAAGCTGAGTTTCAAGTAACTGGCGAGCAGCACCGTGTGTACATTTACACGAACCATTTGGAGCCACTTTTGACCTGTCAAATTTGGTTCATATATTGAGACTTGCGAGATAAATATGTGTTCCAAATTTCATAAACATATCTCAAACGGTTATTTAGATATTAACGTCCAAATATCGTCATTTTTATCACTGATCAACTATAGTTCAAAATTATAACCCACTTCCAGATGACCTAGGAAGTTCAGATTTGGCATGCAGATAGGTAATTAGGTGAATATAAAGGAAAAAATGAAATCAGTATATTTCGTATATGAGAACTGGCCAAGTCAGACCTTAGGCTACAGTATATTATCCTAAGTTATAAGAAGAAATAATATTTTATATTGTTATAAATACATTTCAGGACAGACCATTGAACTTGGCACCCATTTAGATCTTACCTGTTTTGTCGTAGAAGTCAACAATCAAGGCATATATCATTATGTTAAACTCGGCTATCATTTCACATTTATGTTTTTGATGGGATACGTTATTTCACGGGCGATCAGAAGGGCGTGCGATTTAGTGCGGGAAAGCCAGTGCAAGCATCGTGAGGGATTGTTTTTATCTATTTTTGTGTTTACGCTTTCGCACGTGATTAGGCGTATGTCATTAGCTGCCTTTACACATGTTCTTTCACACGCGATCAGAATCGCGGGAAAGCCAATGCAATCGTTAGAGATTGTTACAATCGTTAGGGACTGTTTTTATCTATTTTTTGTTTTCACGCTTTCGCACGTGATTAGGTCTTTATCTTTAGCTGTCTTTACACGACAAGTTTTTTCACGCGATTTGGAATATGCGCGATTTAGCGCAATAAAACCAGCGAGCGCAATCGTTATGGATTGTTTTTTATATATTTTTTTGTGTTCACACTTTCGCACGAGATTATGCGTATGTTATTAGCTGTCCTTACACAACATGTTCTTTGACGCTAAATCAATAAACTAAATAGGGGTTGATGCTCGAAGAGTGAAAATTTTGGGTAATACATAAAATATTATTTAAAGCAACATACATTTTTGTTTCATTTTTTGTATTTTTTTTATAAATAAAAAAAAAATACAAAAAATGAAAAAAAAAAGTAAGAGATTATCCACCTCTTACTTTTTACCCTTATCACTTAGGAGTATGAAAAATAGTTAATAGCCGATTCTCAGACCTGAATATGAATATAAAATTTCATAAAAATCGGTCAAGCCGTTTCGAAGGAGTATGGTAACTAACATTGCGACATGAGAATTTTATATACGTATAAGATATATACTATACAAGATGTGGCCGCGGTTTCCCCCGCGCTAAATTGTAATATTTAAATTTCAATAAAAAATATAGCATATATTTTATTCTGATGCATAAGCTATATTACTGTAAAGTTTCATCAAAATCCGTTCAGTAGTTTTTGCGTGAAAGAATAACAAACATCCATACTTACAAACTTTCGCGTTTATAATATTACTAGCTACTCACCCCGGCTTGGCATGGTTGTACATGTATTATATATATAAACCTTCCTCTTAAAACACTATCTATTTAAAAAAACCATCATCAATCATCAAAATCCGTTGCATAGTTTTAAAGATTTAAGCATACATAGGGACGGACGGACAAACAGCGACATCGACAGCGACTTTGTTTTATACTATGTAATGATTAAGATATATAATATATACATTACTATATTACGTAAATGACCTTTTCTTAAATAAAATGTAAAGACTTACCTAGATTTTGTGCCGTTATATCCACGACTTTGGGGTCTGTCATACCCAACATGTCGACTAGTCTCTTGATCTTCTGCTGAGGCGTCATCTTCTCTATCTTTCTATTTATAATTTTTCCTCTCTTTGTTACCTGGTAATAAAAAAAAATGTAATTTCACTTTATGGGTACTAGACAACTGATATAAATACTTAAAACAACACACAACTATTGCCGTGCGAGCGTTCATGGCAATAGTTGTTCATTCACGGGATTTTCATTTAATGTTGGACATAGACACCTATATAAGTAATCTATGTAAATAAACTGATTAAAAATGAAAGAAATTCACTTGAGTTTCTTACCAGTTCTTCTCAATTGGATCTATACCTATATAGAATTTCTCCACCATCCAGCAGTAGGCAAAGAATAATATAATACAAAACAATTGACGTATCTAAACAGCTAAAATGTCCTACATTAATAAATAATTTGATTTGAAAACACTTTTTTTTAATATATAAATAATAGATACAACCATAAGATATAGGAAACATCCAGACCAATACAAACTATCACACTCGTGAATACAAATGTTTGTCCTGTGCGAGGAACTGAACCCGCGACTATCGCAAATAAAGCAGTTTAGAACAAACCACTAGACTATAGGAGCCGTCAAATCAGTACCTTTTTCCCCTTCATATGCGTAGGCAGCTCGTGAACCATGGTGAGTGTAGCGGAAAACACAAAGTTCTGACGACTGCTACGCTTGGTGTCATCAGAGTTCAAACGTTCCAACAGAGGCTGCAGTTCTTCGAAGTGGCCACGCTCTATCATACGGTCCGTTTCGTCAATAGCTAGGAACCTAAAGAAAACAATGTCATAATAATAAAAATAATATTAGGACAATTCACACAGCGCCATCTAGACCCAAGTTAAACTAGCTAAAGCTTGTGTTATGGGTACTAGATAACTGATACATATACATAGAAGTTTTTTTTTTGTAAATACATACATATTATACATAGAAAACACCCAGACCGATACAAACAATACAAACATACTCATGAATACAAATGTTTGTGCCGTGCGAGGAATCGAACCCGTGACCGTCGGTCGTAAAGCGGTGTGCTAGACTGCTAGACCACTACAATATCCCAAACAAGGTTATAATAATTATTGAATTAACAAATTATTTAACCCATATTAACATTGATTCATAAACTAGGCTGGGATCGATCCCGCGTCCAATTCAAACGGGGATCGAAATTACGACGGCCTGAGTAGAGGTGAAAACCTCTAGCGGTGCCCTCGGACTATAGTCAGGCGGGAGTTGCCCTTCTGCCGCTCCATATGTTCTTCCGCTGGTTTGGAATGACATCTGCACTCGCTCTCTATCGTCCGGTGAAGCTGTAAAGGCCAGCTACGTCCAACAGCGTTAGAATAGTTCGAAAAAAAACTATACTAGGTTTAATATAGTCCGGAACCACAATATGAATTTTTATTCAATATAACGTTTCATGTAACGCCTGTAACGTCACTCATATGTTACCATTATTTTTTTTTTACTACGATGATGGCAAAGAATCATACGGCCCACCTGATGGTAAACGGTTACCGTAGCCTATGGACGCCTGAGACACCCCTGGTGTCACGTGCGCGTTGCCGACCCTTAAGAAACCTTAATATACCCTTCTTGTACAACCGCATACTATAGTCTCGTGAGATAACCTCAGGAGGTTGTTCATTCCACAATCTAAGTGTACGCAGGAAGAAGCTCCTCTGAAACCGAACTGTCCGAGACCTGTTAGGTTCCAGCGTGTGGGGATGCATTCCCTGTCGATGGCGAGTATATTTGTGAGGTCCAGGGATATCCAATTAAAAAAAGTTCAGTGGGATAGTTCATGTAAGTGTATGGCTACCATCGCAACCGAGAGCTTCTGGCCGGAAGAACCAGGTTCCAGCGTATAGGGAAGAATTTTTTTTTTTTTTTTCAAATAAACTTAATTTAAGCACTTTTGAATAGTCATAACAATTTGTTTTTGATCTACCACTCGTTCGGAAAGCTGTCTCATCACAAGAAGAACGAGCAAGAAACTTGTGTGTTGCTCTTTTAAATAATCCTTGTAAGTTTACATTTACAAGTCGAAACGTGTGAATACAAACTACCAGCAAGCACTAATTTTTTGGGTCAAATATAATCATGCAATAAAATTAAATCAGTCGTAGTGATAAGAGCAGACCAGTCCCTACAAGCAGCACTCGTTCACGAGTATGACGGATGAGCCAGCCATCACTGCGCTCGACCATATTTTAGGGAGCCCATTGACCCGGCCCACCACGCCGCCACATGTCTGGACATTTTAGTGAGCATGACTACTCATTCCACACGACCACGTCACAGCTACAAAAATTACTATATGGTAGTTACAGTATTCGCACTTTACATAAGGATGCATGCGGCAATCAATACAATAGCCGCTACGCTATCATATATCAAGAAAGCAGTATGAAAATTAAAATTATAACGTTGTCCGCAAATAAACTTATTCTTGCTATATATTGCTATCATCTATAAATTCATCTATCTTATAATAGGCTTTTTTACATAACATTTGTTTAATATAAGATTTGAATTGCCTCTCTGTAAGATTTAGCGTAGACTCTGGCAGTTTATTATAGAATCTTACGCAATTACCATAAAATGAATTACTAACTTTGTGTAGACGGCATTTAGGTAAAATTAGCTTATTTTTATTGCGTAAGTTTCTACTTGTACAGTCTTTAAGTTTCTTGAAACTATCTAAGTTTTTCCTTGTATACATAATATTTTCATAAATGTACTGTGAGGCAACGGTGAGGATATTTGATTGTTTAAAGCATTGACGTAATGACTCTCTAGAACCCATACCATAAATAGAACGTATGGCTCTCTTTTGTAAAATAAATATAGTATTTATATCGGCAGCTTTACCCCATAGCAGTATGCCATATGACATAATGCTATGGAAGTAACTAAAATATACAAGTTTTGCCGTCGCCACGTCTGTTAATTGTCTTATCCTTCTAATTGCATAAGCAGCAGAACTAAGTCTACTGGCTAATTTTGAAATATGGGGCCCCCATTGTAACTTCGAGTCCACTGTTATTCCTAAAAAAACTGTATCATTAACAAAATTTACTATTTCATCATTAAGCAATAGCTGCGTATTTACTTGTTTTACATTAGGCAGCGTGAATTTAATGCACTTAGTTTTGTTGGAGTTCAATAATAGATTATTACATGTGAACCAATTTAGTATAGCAGAGATAGCATAATTTACATCGTCTAATTGATTACATTGGCGACCAATTTTAAACACTAACGAAGTATCATCCGCAAATAACACTATGTCTGCAACTTTCTCTACCATGTAGGGAAGGTCATTTATATAAATTAAAAAGAGAAATGGGCCTAATATTGAACCTTGAGGAACGCCCATTTTTATATTAGTTCCCTTAGACTTTACACCATCAATATCTACAGTTTGCACCCTATCCTCTAGATAAGTTTTCATTAGACTTAGGTCATTATCTCTAATACCATAGTGTTTGAGCTTGTACAAAAGTGTTTCATGATCTACGCAATCAAACGCCTTCGACAAGTCACAAAAAACGCCGAGAGCATCCTGTGATTTTTCCCATGATTCGAATATATGTGTAATAAGTGCTACACCTGCATCAGTAGTAGACTTGCCGGCAGTGAAACCATATTGCTAATTCTAGCGTTAGGCCGCCAGATACTATAAAATACTGTTAACTTACTTGACACAGTCCAACTGCTGTAGATGCTGTTGCCCCTGCTGCAGTAGCTCCCACAGGCGTCCAGGTGTCGCTACCACCACCTCCGGTCCACGCGCCAGAACCCTCTCCTGTTTCACCGGCGCTAAACCACCTACTATTGTTGCTACTCTTATACCTATGTCGCAGATAATAAAGTAGATTTTAGAAAAACAATAAATTCAAAAAGGTTTTGTCTAAGATCTTACTGTTGCCAGACGACTTTACAGATGCAGGCAGACAGTAGATAGATAGATAGATAAAAAAATTATTCACGTTAAAGACACACACAAACAAGGCACTGTAATAATAAAAACAGATATACAATTACATTAGTTAAGTCAAACCAAATACAATACACAACAAATATATAGATAAAATAAAGTACAGCCTAAGAGAAGTTTCTGGGACTATTGATGATTGGTATTAATGATATTAACTGTAAAAATGAAGAAATAATAATAAACCTGAGACAAATGACAACAAAGCAATAACACAGTGTCATGTAGTCCTAAACGATGCAGACCTTAAGTTATGAGTAATAGACAACTAAAATGTTTACTTAATCTCAAATTCAAATTCAAAATATCTTTATGATATGTCAAATCTACCATCAGTTCAGAATGATTCAGAAGAAATGGGAAGAATTGATGATCTTTCCAAATAAATGTTGTACATGTTTACAATATTATAGATTCATTTTTAAATTCAAATTTTGGAAAATAGAGTGACCACCAGTATGTTATTGCAAAAGCAAAAAGTCTAAACAGTGTTTGTAATCTGAACAGACCAGTCCTCACAAGCACATGTTCACGAATATGACAGACGAGTCAGCCATCATCGAACTCAACTGTACTAGATGGAGCACATTGACCCGGCCCAACACGTCGTCATAAGTTTGAACTTTATAGCGAGCATGACTGTGTAGTGTTTAGTTCCTTAGGGTCTTTAAGTTGAGGTCCAAGTCACTATAATGTAGTAAGATGAAATTCTTACCTGTATATTTAGATATTGCAATTAAATGCCTGCTGATCTGTATAGCAAGCTCCCTTGTGGGTGTTAAGATCAGAGCATACAATGGCTTCCCAGTTTTTACGACAATATGTCCAGGTATATCCACATCGTCTATGACTTTCACGCAACCTATGCCTGTAACAAATTAAAATCAATCAAGGTTAATTCAACAGAAGCCAGCATCACGACTGCCATGACCATTCTAGTTAAATAAAAAAATAATATTACTAATGACTTCAAGCTGAAAGTATTCTTATTAAATAAAAACAAAAGTATAAACAAATTTGAATATTATAAATCAACACCTTCTTCATTTTGGTGCATTTCACTTTCATCTTCAGAATCTCCATCATTTGAAAATTCACTACCTTCTTCCTCATCATTACTACCTTCACTAAGCGCTACATCACTGTCAGACGCATCATCATCTGATACTTCATTATTATCAGTATGAGTATCATCATTTACAGATTCATTATCACTTGAATCAGCTAAATCATCTGAGTCAAGCATCTCAGAGAGATGTACATAATTATCACTGTCATCGCTATCTATGCCTTCATCAGATGTTTGTTTTTTTCTTATAGGAACATCAAACTCTTCTATAAATTCGTCAGCTGCATTTTTATCTCTTTTAATTATTTTTGGTGATTGTTTTTTTGTAGCCTTATTGCCTTGATTATTTTTATTTTTAATACTTTTTTTTGTTTTTGCATTAGTATTGTCTTGAATGATATCTTCATTGTCACTATCACCACTTCCATAACCATGTTCAGATGACTCTTTATCTTTTTTAATTTCTTTATTTCTCTTGCGTTTATCTTTTTTGTCATGTTTAGATATTTTATTCATTTCATTCTTTCTTTTCACTGATGTCTTTTTGTATGGTATTTCATAAACATCTAAACCAGCATCAGCTTTTTCCTTTAATTTCATAATACCAGTGAGTATTGGCAGACCAAAAGCAAGAGTTTTGCCACTCCCAGTTTCAGCTGCACCTAAGATATCTCTGCGACCTGTAACAATATACCCTCCATTTTACTATTCTGTGAAACCTAAAATTTTAGATAAATTAAAAATCTTTTATAACATACCATGTATAGCTGCTGGCAAGGTCAGCTCTTGTATTTTTGTGGGTTTTTTAAAGTTCAACTCCATAAGTGCTTTCAATATAGGTTCAGGGAGTTTAAATTCAGCCCAAGTCAACATATCTTCAGGAGTCAAATCGGACACAACCACAGTAATGTCTTCTCCAAGTTTTATTTTAACTTTTTTACTATTGTCAACCCTATTTATGATTCTTGTTTTATTTGATAAGGATGGTGTTACTGTATCACAATTTTCAACTGTAAATCCTTGACTTAATTTTACTCTCTTTGTTGGTACTTCAAGTGTTTCACTTTCATTCAGCTTTGTTGGTGTTTCAAGCACAACCTTTAAATTCTTGCGTTTTTTACCTTTTTTCTGAAAAAAGCAAACCATAGACCATATGCAAAATATTTTCTATGATTTTTTGATCAATCATTTTATACTTGGGGGATAGTGTCATGAATGAATGTCAAAATTTAAATAAAAATTAATACAATAAAAATATTAAAAACTTTGATTAGCAACTTCATATAGTGGCGCGAGACGTAGTGGGGGCTTAGTAAGGTAACAACAATGTTAGCCATGTACCATATCAAGTTGGTTTCTATGTACTTATTATGGATTAAAACACATTTATATTTTAGAAACATGTTTTTTAATATGACTGCTTGTATTGAGGCTTACATGGAATGATTATATTTTAGTACCCTACATATTTGACTTTTTTGATAAAAAGTTATATTGAGGGTGACAATAAAAGACACACACAATTATTGTTATACAACATACCTTTCCCTCAAGCTTAACACTAATATTAACAAACTCTTGAAAAAAATCAACAATATATGGTTATCCTATTTACAATCTATCATAAGGGAGTTTAGAATGTCCTTTGGGTTTGTTTCTTATCTTTCCCACATTTGATGTTGATGGTATTCCCAGCATGTCCGCCCATTGGTCACAACTGGGTATCTCAATTATATCTTGCTCCTGCACTGTTTCCCATGTCTGATCTTCACCTAAGTTTTCATTTGTCAATTCCTGCTCCACTTCTGCATCCTGTTCTTGTATTTCACTTTCTGTCTCCTGTGTTCTTAACTCTTCTGTCTCTGTGTCCTTAAGTGTTACCAATTGATCTATGTGTCTATGCATACACTCTCCATTTTCTGTTTCTATTCTATAGCTAGAAGGACCCTCCTTCCCTATTATTGTTCCAGATTTCCACTTTTCTCCTTCTGCATAGTTCCTGTACATTACTTTCTTTCCAACTTGAGTTTCACGATTCTTCCTATTTGCATTATGTATAATCTGATTTTCTGTCTTTCTGTAATGATTGATATTTGGGTGAACAGTGTCTAATAAAGTCCGCAGCTGTCTATTCATCAATAATTCGGCTGGACTTCTCTTAGTTGATGTGCAAGGCGTACTACGTAATGTCAGCAAAATTCTTGGTAATTTTACTTCCCAAGGTACATCTGTCATCTTTTTTAGTTTATTTTTTAAAGTTTGAACCATTCTCTCGGCCTGCCCGTTGGTGGCGGGATGATATGGCGCTGTCCTAATGTGTTTTATTTTGTTAGCCACTAAAAAGTCCTCAAAATCCTTTGACACGAAAGATGTACCATTATCTGATACCAATGTTTCACAAAGCCCGTGTTGCGCAAAGATATATCGTAAATGTTTGATAACAATGCTAGATGCCATAGAATTTACAATGTGAACCTCAGGCCATTTTGAATATGAGTCTACTACTATCAAAAATATTTTATTTTGAAAAGGTCCTGCAAAATCAACATGAATACGGGACCATGGTCTAGCAGGCATAATCCATTCATGTGATGATCTTGTTGGCATATTTCTATTTTCTAAACAGGAATGGCAGTTGCTGATCATCTTCTCTATATCTCTGTCCATTTGTGGCCACCATACATAACTCCTAGCCAGAGCTTTAGTATGTACTATACCATTATGAGTTTGGTGTAATAGTTTTAACATGTCCTCTCTAAGTTTATTTGGTAATACCACACGACTTCCCAGTAAAATACAGCCATCTTGTATACTCAACTCCAAGCGATGTAACCAATATGTATGTAACTCTTTATTTGTAATTCGGGCTGGCCACCCTTTCAAAATGAACCATTTTACTCTATGGAGAGTTGGATCTCCAGAAGTTGCTCTTTCAATGTCTTTTGGACCAAATGGCAAGTCATGTGGTGTTTCTGCTATTAAGAGAACCTCCCCTGGAGTATCAATATCTTGAGATGATACTGGCATTGGCCAGCGGCTAAGTCCATCAGCATTACTAATTTCCTTACCACGTTTATATTCAATTTCGTAATCATGTGCTGCTAAGGTCAAACATATACGAGTCAATCGTGGTGAAAGAATATCTGGTATCTTCTTCTTAGTCCCAAATATTCCCAGAAGCGGTTTATGGTCCGTTATAATTGTAAATCGACGACCCATCAAATAATTGTTGAATTTTTTAATCCCAAACAGAATTGCCGTGGCCTCTTTATCTAATTGAGAATATCGTCTTTCATGTGGGTGTAGTGTTCTTGATCCCATAGCTATTGGTTTCTCATCACCATTATCCATAATATGTGCCAGAACGGCTCCTACCCCATAGTCTGATGAATCACAAGTTAAAATCAGTTTCTTCTTTGTGTCATAGTGTGTAAGACAGACATCATTTGCAAGTAGACTTTTTGCGGTATTAAAAGATTGTTGTTCCTCTTTACTCCATTTCCAATCCTGCTTTTGGTCCAACAATCTATGTAGTGGCTCCAAAACTGTTGCCTTGTGAGGTACAAAGCGTTCATAAAAATTATATAATCCAAGGAATGCTTGAAGTTGCTGAACATTCCTTGGAGGTGGCGTGTTTATTATTGCATTAATTTTACTTTTTGCAGGGTGTATACCCTCGGCATCTATTAGAAATCCCAAGAATTCAACTTGCGTCTTTGCAAACTTACACTTGTTTTGATTAAGCTTTAGTCCCTTGTTTGTTAAACGTTGCAGAACTATATTCAGTCGAGTTTTCATTTCCTCTAGTGTATGACCAGTAATAATAATGTCATCGAGCAGAACAGCAACTCCTGGGACATCTGCAAGTAATGCTGTCATTGCTCGCTGGAAAATACCTGGGCTGGCTTTAACACCAAATGCTAGTCTATGTACTGAAAACAGACCTTTGGTTGTATTTAATGTCAGTAGTTTTGATGTCTGTTCATCAACTGGCACCTGTGTGTACGCTCGATCCAGGTCCAAAGTTGTAAAAAATCGTCCTCCTGCCAGGAGCGCAAAAATTTCATTAGCAGTCGGCATCGGGTATGTATCCGATTCTGTAGCTTGATTCACTGTGCTTCGGTAATCACCACACAATCTAATGCTGCCATCTTTTTTTACAATGGGTACTACGGGAGTTGCCCATTCTGAATACGGTATGGGTTTCAATACACCGTCTTTGACCAAATTGTCTATCTCTTGTTCTACGCGATCTTTCAGAGCATATGGTACTGGTCTCGCCTTTATAAATTTAGGGACAGCTCCTGGGACTAAATGTATTGCTACAGGCTCTCCTTTGTAAGTACCTAAGCCATGTGAAAAAATATTTTTATATTTATTTAGTAAGTCTTCACACTGTATGCCCTCATGCTCTATTAAATTTATATTATTTATAGAAATATTTAGAGGTTGAAACCAGTTCCGACCCAACAAATTAGGGCCTTTTCCTTTAGCAACAATAACTGTTAATGGACATTGCTTATTATTATATGTCACATCAACATCTAATTGTCCTAGTAAGTGCAGTGATGTATTTGTCCATGTTGATAACCGTAGAATCATTGGTTGTAACTTATTCCTTAAGTATTTAGGCAATTTTTCAAATGTATTTACATTTATTATTGAATATGATGCCCCCGAATCTATTTCCATTTTTGTCTCGCAACCATTCAATAAGACATCAACCTGTATAGGCGGTATTCTCTGTAGATTATATATATCATTCACACAATATATACCGTTAAGTGAATCATTATTCTGAATATTCGAATCTTCCTCAGTTGTGTAACGGATATTCTGATTTTTACGTTTCTGTGTACAAATTTTCTCTAAATGCCCAATTTTTTGACAAAAATTGCATTTAGAGTTCACATGTCGACATGTACCACTATGTTTATCACCACATCGATAACAGAATCTATATCTATTATTGGTGGTATTTTTGTCACGTATGGCACCAATATCCATTGGTTCAAATGTTGAACTGGATGTACTTGGGGTCGGCTGCACTGCACGCATCATTGTGACGTCACGATGTGCTGTTTCTGCTGCTGTTAGACAATCCACCACTTCCTTGTATGTTAAGTTGTCTCGTTTCAGTAACTCAAATTTCAATTTCTCATCTTGCATCCCACATACTAAACGATCGCGAAGATTTCGTTCCAAATTACTAAAGTTACAATGTGCAGCTATTTTCCTCAATTCTGTTAAGTAATCGAGCGCCTTTTCGCCTTCCCTTTGGTTGCGGTTGTAAAATTTGTAGGACATGGTGATTTCATTAGATTTAGGTGTATAATGTTTTGTCAATAAATCAACCACATAGTTAAAACTGACTTCATGTGATTTTCTTGGTATTATCAAAGCTAGCACCGTTTCAAACACCTCAGAGCCACAAATTGTATAGAAATTAGCAAGTTTCACATTATCGTCGCAAATTCCATTTGCCACAAAACAATAATTTAGCCTATCTATGTAGTGACTAAAATCTTCATTCCCGGGTCGGTACTCGTGGAATTTAATTGCTTGCATGTTTGTACATTTATTATCACTATAAATTTATCACTCGTCGCCAATATTATGGATTAAAACACATTTATATTTTAGAAACATGTTTTTTAATATGACTGCTTGTATTGAGGCTTACATGGAATGATTATATTTTAGTACCCTACATATTTGACTTTTTTGATAAAAAGTTATATTGAGGGTGACAATAAAAGACACACACAATTATTGTTATACAACAGTACTATTTAATAATTTACGTATATTTGAATCAAATGTGGCAGGCGGTATTAATATTTAGCTCTCTATTGCCCTTTCCTTCACCAGCCAGTAATTCTGTCGAATATAATGCTCTCATTTCGATTGTGGCATGATCTCACGAAACTACAATATGGGATTTTTCAAGAAGGGGTTTCTTAGAGGTCGGTAATGTGCATGTGACACCCCTGGTGTGTGTTTATAGGCTACAGTACCCATTTCCATCAGATGGGCCGTATGCTTGTTTGCTAACATGGTACTATAAAAAAAATTACATACGGGTAATAATTCTAAGTGGGTGTATGACTATTCTGTATAGTTTCTAAGTTTTTTAAAGTTTGAATCTTTTGCCCAAGAAAAAGAATTATTCAAATAGTTTCAATATCTGTGACCTATAACATTGCCACTTCAAACTGTGAAGATAAGTGAACAAGAAACACCGGCAGATGTTTTTGGATATAGTAAACAAAGTGCGACATGTGATGTTACCTTTTTAATGCAGTTTTTTGTTTCCTTATCAAATCCGTAACTAGTACATTCTTCGAGGCCCACGAAACCTTGAAAATTGTCTGTCATAGAGATGGGAAAACCATCCAAAGCAATTGTATCCCATTTCATGTTTTTATAATTTTTATTCATGTTTCCAAAGCAACTGAAACAAAGATAACCTAAAACATAACCTTTTGAGTTTCTGTCATCGGCTGAATTGACAATTACAAGACATTGACGTCCAATTTATTTGACATATATGTTATTTATGGTCAAATTAGATAACATCTTCTACAAATTATTATTAGGGCTATGGAACACAGAGACGAGAACAAAATCATCATGTGACATGATGATATAACATGTTATATACAAGTCGTAACTAAAATATCCAGTGTAGTTGGGAATAATGTACGATAATGAACGTTAAATAAATTTTCAAAAAAGAAGGAAAATCTCATGATTTTGATTTTTTTTATGTGTTAAATTACTTTTTATTGTTTCTATTTTTTTTTATTTTATTTGAATTCAAAACAGCAGCATATTATTTAACACTTAAAAAACGTATACCAGTGGAGGAGAGAGAATGGGTTTAGTCATGGGAACTGACGGCACTATTTTTCGTGGCCCAGCCATTAGTAGCACAGGGTGGATTGTAGGATATCATTCCATTATACTATACATATATTATAATTACTCAAATAAAAAGAAATTACACTCAAACGTGCGGCAAAAATTAAATAAGCAAAATTGTTGTCTTTGGATTATGTGCTGCTTATGGTACTACTGATTGAGTAATGCATCTTAATGTTTTACAAAAAAATTACTTAAAAACCATTAAAAAAATAGTCTACCAATTAAATATAAATTTAAATGTAAAATTTCTGTTGGCAATTAATTTTTATCATTACTATTTGAGATTTAATATCAAAACTAACATAGCTCTATCTAATTATTCTTTTGCCACTACTATATCATGTCATAAAAAAGTATAATAGCACGCTGCCAACCATAGACAAAAGAGGGAGGAAATTTGTAAGTGATCGATTTTACGCCGGCCTCAAACTTCTCAACGGCATTTTTCTTTGTTTGCTCGTAAACGCGTGGACAATAATTAAATAGCATCCGCGCGGCCGGTCCAGCTATTGCAATGGCGAACACGTTTCGCGGAGTTACGGTCTCCGCTGTAAACAATGACGGCACTCAGGTTCCGCGCTTCAATTTTCCCACAAACGTAAACGTGGATTATGATCCACAAGGGCTAAGTGTTAAAGTGATACGTGCTGATCCAGTGTTAGCTCAAGAGGTGCTCGAATTCCCCGTTCACAACCAGAGTGAGTGTTCCCGCGTCGTCGGCCAGTCGTATATTTTTACGATCGACAATGAAACTTTATTTTTCAAGTTCGCTTCTGAAGCCGACTGTCAGAATTTTCACCTGCTCGTCAGTAAAATCAAGGCGGGCCGGTCGTCATCCGTTTTCACAGTGCGCACCGAAGATTCGTCGGCGATGCAGTATTTCCAGTTTTATGGTTACCTAAGTCAGCAGCAGAATATGATGCAAGATTATGTGAGAACTAGTACGTACCAACGAGCTATATTATCTAATATCAACGATTTTAAGAACAAAGTGGTGCTGGATGTGGGCGCCGGTTCAGGAATCTTATCATTTTTTGCCGCGCAAGCTGGAGCGCGTAAGGTGTATGCAGTAGAAGCTAGCAATATGGCGCATCACGCCCAAGCTTTAGTACGCGCCAATGGCCTTCACGATCGTATCACTGTGGTAGCTGGCAAAATTGAGGAGATTGAACTGCCCGAGACTGTAGATGTGATAATTTCGGAGCCAATGGGCTATATGTTGTATAATGAGCGTATGCTGGAGACATATCTGCATGCTAAGAAGTGGTTGAAACCGAATGGCAATATGTACCCAACTCGTGGTGACTTGCACATAGCACCATTTACTGATGATGCTCTGTTTATGGAGCAATACAATAAAGCTAATTTCTGGTACCAAACTTGCTTCCATGGAGTAGATCTAAGTGCACTTCGTACGGCAGCTATGAAAGAGTATTTTAGGCAACCTATAGTTGACACATTTGATGTTCGTATTTGTATGTCAAGATCTGTGAGACATGTTGTTGACTTTCTAAACGCACATGAAACCGATCTACATCGGATTGAGGTACCATTCAGATTTGAGTTGACGCAGTCTGGTACATGCCATGGACTGGCGTTCTGGTTTGATGTGCTATTCGCAGGCAGTACACAGCACATATGGCTATCGACGGCGCCTACGGAGCCTCTAACCCATTGGTATCAAGTCCGTTGTCTGCTTGAAACACCAATATTTGCCAAACAAGGCCAAGCATTGACTGGCCGAGTGCTCTTATTAGCCAATAAGAGGCAGAGTTACGATGTTACCATGGAGGTGAATTTGGAGGGAACTAATATATCATCATCAAACACGCTGGACTTGAAGAACCCATACTTTAGATACACGGGGGCTCCAGCGGCACCTCCTCCTGGTGTTAACACTACCTCACCAAGTGAATCATACTGGAACTCTCTAGAAACTACTGGTACGTTGACGAATGGACAGGGTGTGATTCTTGCAGATGGAACACAGCAGTATTGCTCGACTCCTGACCAAACTATTGCTTACAGTGGCCACCCAAATATGATTAAAACAGTGATGCTACAAGAGGAATTCATCAAGAGAATCGGGATTAGCCAAAATGGGGACATATAATCCGCAAAGTCGCGCCGAGCGCGCCTTAGGGCTATAAGGAACCGTAATCGGTTGTGAACATTCTTCCGTTCAGACTTTGTTAGTGTTTAAGAGAACTTATTTATTTTGAATGAAGCATCACACTGAAGAGGACTGTATTTAGTTAGGAGTTAACTGGCCTTGTCTATGACAGTGAAATGCAATAAAACAGAGCGCCTTCTCCGTCGACATTTTGTTTTTACAGAATGACGCTTACTAGTGTAATTCGATGAAAAATCTGCTTGTATGTTAATTGTGGAAATTTGTTGTAAATATTCTGTGGTGATTAGGAAATAACGGGCCGAGTTAAGGGTTGCTCTAGAGTTAGCTAGAGATGAAGTACACTTAGTATAAGCAATAAGTGCTGATTTTTAATGATAATGCTTATCATTGTCAATACTCATTTATCATTAGAGCAGGCTCAATCATATTAGTTAGGTAGGGGAATCGAGTATTCTATTGAAGGCAGTTGGTGATGTAAGGAGTTTTTCAGTTTGGTCACAATTTGTCTATGGTCCATGTATCTCATAATAATTTGAATTTAGAACGGTATAATTGTGACAATGGCCATGCTGCTAAAACTCTTACTTGAAGGTCTAGGTTGGGTAGGATTCCATGTCTGCCGATCAAAACAAACTCTTGAGATTGTGGATAACATCTGGAGTCAACCACTAGATATTTCAATGATATTTTTATACATAGCCATACATAAAAGTTATGTTTCTGTAAATATTTTAAATGTAAGATAAAGTTAGTGACATTTCTATTTTTTTTTTCGCTGAAATTTATCAGTATTCGTTTGTGTTCCGTACCTTTAATATTTTGTAAGGTTTATTACATTATATAATAGCTATGTACCCAAATGATGATTATAAAATTATCATTAATTGTGATTACTAATTTATGTTGTACATGTGATATCGAATTATTAAATCAATTCATTTAAAATATACATTATTCTTGTCTTCAATACATGACAATATTTGTATAATCTGCATTGCAAAGTATTAAATAAAATAAACATAAAAGTTTAAAGTTAAACACAGAATAAAACATAGAACTTATAAACTTATGTATTACGTACTCAATAATAAAAAATCGAAGTTTATTATTACAAATTCAAAATTATCGTCTAATTTTTATTCATAAACGCTCGAGTCAATGGAAAATCGTGAACGCTTAACGTAATGTGATACGACCTTAATTGTAATATTTTTCCTGTTGTCATTGTAACATTATGACCAGCTGAGATCTACAATCTTACGTCATATAGAATTAAACAATGGAAATAAAATTGGTGCTGTAACTATTTGCACAAATAATAGATTTGTTATAACATGACTACCTCAGGATTTGGCAGACAATTGGAGCTTTTGGATCGTCAAATTAACGTCGAGGTATAAATTAAATATGATCTCCGATCGATCCAACATCCAATTCAAACGGGGATCGAAATTAGGACGGCTTGAGCCGAGGTTTAAACCTAGCGTACCCTCAGACTAAAGTTGTATCCGTCAGGCGGGAGTTGACCTTCAGGCGCTCCATAAGTTCGCGGGTTTGGAGTGTCATCTGCACTCGCTGCTTATCGTCCAGTGAAGCTGTAAAGGCCAGCTGCGGCCAACAGCATTTGAGTAGTCGGAAATAAAAAAATAATTTAACTATTTGGTTAATTTATTAATTTGCATTGTAAATCGTATTAAGTTGCAAAGTAAATTAGCATAAGACTCGACTGATCATAAACGGAAAAATTTTGACAAATGAATTGTATTTACTGTGATTTTTTTTAAATACAACTTTCAGCTATATTTTTGTAACTACACTCATTGGTTTTGCTATTTAAAAAGCAAAATAGTGATTAAAACGAAGGAGTATCATTAAATGTTATTTTTTGAGATTGTTATATTTTACACCTCGACGTTAAGTGATAAGATCTTTATTATAAATCTTAAAGCGATTGTCGGAAGGTCTCTAATAAATTGGCTATGTTAGTAGGGTTGCCACGTTTAGGAAAAATTCGCAGCGTCGTGCTGCCATATCACAATAAGGATTTGATGACACGCTTGTAACTATTATGAAGCATACGTTAGTTTAGTGGTAGGTAGTCATAGAATTTTTAGTTTCACGTCAGCATGAATGGCAACCCTGTTCGTAATACCTATAGTAAAGCCAGACTCGCTTGCCATTAAATCAATTATGTTATTAAGAGCAATTCACTTAAACAAGTTAGAATTGTAAGGAAACAATTGAACAGAGTAAAATGACAACTTGATTTTTTTTATAAATTAAAATATAATATGGACAGTGTTGTGAAATGACTGTTTTGTCCCCCCGTCCTCCCTCCTCTCTCCCTCTACCCCGAAACCCCTCTCCTCTCTCCCTCTACCCCCAGAGTTTACAATCAATTACAATCTTG